TAATGTAATAAAAGAGTAGACAGTAAAATAGGTGTCGTTTCGATTAGAGTAGACATCCGTTAAGTGTCCAGTAGAATATGTATAGAGTATATTGCTATGTGATCGCATAAGAAAGCAATGATGCCCCTCGCCTACGTACGGCCCAAGTCATTGAGCCATTGACGATGGCATCGATTACGGATCTACGGGGGTATTGGTAGGAGACTCTATACTGTATAGTACTGTACGTTTCTGCTATCGTTGCAAGAGCTCAATTTGATTTTGTAGCAGGGGAAAATAAGAGCCCCCAAAAATACACTTTGTTGACTGATGTAAGGCATGTATTGATTGCTCTTGTGGCGAAATTAGTAGCTGTATGTACTCTCTACTCTATGATTGAGCATTACACAAGTAGTATCCTTGGTGGACGATCGAATGATATTATCGGTATCGAAATAGCAACAATTTTGGGGAGGTTGAATGGGTGCCAACTTACCAATTCCTCAAAATCCCTCATATCACCCACATTGAAATCAAGGCTCGACGAGAATAGAACCAAGGTAAACGGATAAGGTTAAGACAGAATGAGTCAATCAAATTAACGCAATGCAAGGTTGGATCGATTTGAAGTCAAGGTTGGAGCGCCAAGATGAATCTATAGAAAAAGTGAAGAATGGATTGTCCTGATCAAAGTGTTGAATACAATTACAGTACGTACGTCCAAGGAGGCCAATGCGAAAAAAAAAGAAATTGGTAACTAGAAGAAGAATTCAACTTCAAAGTCATCAATCGACCTATGCTAAAAGTTGGACATATTAGTTTATCTAGATAAAAGTATCATGATTGAACTTTTTCTCTCATTGATCTCATCACTGCTTGTAGGAGAGTCTTTTTTTGGGTTCGTATCCATCATGGAGTGAGATTGTAGGCCAGGCACAATCGTGGTTATCGAGTCGACAAGCGTCAAGGAAGAACAACTGTATCCAATATCTACTGTAATAACGTCTTGATTTTCATCGACGTTTCAAAGACTTTCATTTCCTAACTCAATGATTTTATGGTATCCATTTGATATTGGTTATTACAGCGAAGACAGTTTATTTCAACTTGACTTACAAGCTAATTTAGTGCAATGGCGCTGGTAGAATCCACTTAGTGGTCAAAATGATGACGCCAGTCGAAATGGGGGGGTAGTCAATGAAAAAAATCCCAGTTGACAGGCGTCTACCGCTAGCAGCGTGTCCGCTGGTAATGAAGCTTAAAATGAGATTGATCTCTTGAATGAGCGCAAAAATGGCTCAAGATACAATCAATTAGACCTCACCAATCTCTACTCTTTGCTAATCCATCCAAATAACAAGCAGTTGTATCAATTTTTTCCTCCTTTTTCCTCTTTTTCTTTGCACAATAAGGTCAGCATGCAAGAGCAAAGTGAAGAATGAAAATCTCTGCTAATATTCGTCCACTCGACGCGTACCTCGGGTCAGGTCGTCCAGTACTCAGACCCAGTCGTTGGTGGTTGACTGTGACATGACGTTTGAGAAGAACGACGCACGGTCGTGTTGGCTGACTACAGTATAGTACAACGCTGTCCCCAGTAACGGTATGGTACAGTACTGGACCGTGCGCTGTGTTACAGTACATACTCTACCGTGCACAGTACATTGTATTGTACGCCACTTGCAATACACTACCAGTCTACAGTGCAATACCATCGACTCACACGGGGACACCGTTTATCAGTCAAGGAGAGACGGACGTCGTGATGCTGTCCTCTACGTTCCTACGATGGTTCGTACTGGCAAGGGGTCGTTCGCTGTGGTGTTGACCAGTCTTGCTGTCAGTCTTGCCCAACAAAACCTGTGTGCAGTGCTACAGTGCATACTCTACAGTGTACAGTACACTACACTACGACCTGCAATACTGTACAGTACAGTACAGTACAGTATAGTACAGTACAGTACACTACAAGTCTACTGTACAGTGTACACTGTACAGTTTAATAACATCGACTCACCCGGGGACACCGTCTATTAGTCAAGGAGAGACGGACGTCGTGACGCTGTCCTCTACTTTCGTACTATGCTGCGTACAGACAAGGGGTCGTTCCCTGTGGTGCTGACCAGTCTTGCTGTCAGTCTTGCCCAACAAAACCTGCGTACAGTACTACAGTACATACTCTACAGTGTACAGTACACTACGACCTGCAATACAGTACTGTACTGTACTGTACAGTACAGTACAATACACTGTACAGTACAGTGCAATAACATCGACTCTACACTGTACGTTCCTACTACAGTATACTGTACAGTACTAACAACTAACAAGGGGTCGTTCGCTGTGGTGTTGACCAGTCTTGCTGTTAGTCTTGCCCAACAAAACCGATACGGAGAGTACGGATGGTACGTACAGTACAGTACACCACTCCAGTACAGTACTGTACAGTCTACAGTCTACAGTCTACAGTACTGTGCGTTCAGAGTGAAGTTCAATGGTCACTGCTGACCAATCACACCCACGGTGTGTTTACTCTACGACAGGTTGACTTGATAGAAATCCAGTACAGTAGCGGGCTACGACTGGCTGACTTGTACAATGTTCAGGCGTGTTGGATGACGTAGTTGTGGTAGTGTCATTCCAGGCACTACTGTCACAGCGTTGTTGCATGGTCAACGCCTGTGCTGATGTTGCAAGAAGAAATTCTTCATCAATTGCAAAATGAGCTAGCCACCTTTTCCGCCATGAATTCATGCAGACTCAGTGCAGTACATTATAGAAAAATAGAAATGATGAGGATATTCATTGAGTTGTTCAAGGTGAAAAAGGAAGAGGAAATGCGCCAACTTTGCCTATACCGCATTGCATCAAGGGCTCTCGTGTACACTTTACACTGTGTCGAAACAGTGCAATCGCTTGAGCCATGACCTTGTACAGGAAAGATGAACTTGAACTCGACAAATGGAAGGAACGTCAAACCATTTCAATGCACAGTATCATGCAGGCAATACAATTAAAAGCTATTTCTTCTATCATGGCATCCATGAACTAGGGCAATGCCATCACTGAAACTACTCTGACCATCGACATGGACTAGATGATATTATACGAGTATTTCTTAGTCTATGCTAGTCTTACAGTAAACAGCAGTAGCAAGGAGGATAGCATGAATAGAAGGTTACTTTTTCAAAAATGGAAAGCACATTCTTGGCTAGTCTTCCACTGATCGATGGGTCCTGTCGAGAGATGGATTGCTTATACTGTATGGTAGACAGTAATGGCATAAAGTAGCTCAGAAATAATAATAATATACGAAAAATAGGGTATGAAGTGGAGAGAAATAAAGCGACTACAGGGAGAGCAAGAGGAGACACCCAAAAGTACATTATCAACGACAGTACTGCACCAATCGCAAATGACTTTCCATACGCCCTGTACACTACAGTCGATGCTGTAAGTAGCCATCGAGATCAAATCAGCCATAGCATTAGGCCATGGTCTTGATCATGGAAGGGTAACGATGAATATCTTAGACCAAGCAGCAATTTCCACTTTGCATCATGGTAATGAACTTATCATACGTCCTATACAATAATCAGGGTGCTACTATCATCATGATACCTCATAACAGTAGTGGTGTGTACTTTTACAGACCATTAGCAGAATATAGGCCTTCTTCTTGTAGTCCATGGTACTTTAAAGATATGGACAAAAAATGCAGTAAACTCAACTATACCATTTACTATGGTATAGTCAATTCAACCTATTAAAATATTGAAAGATTGCGGCTGGTATCATCAATGATACTACTATATGGGACAGTATGTCATATGTTAGGGTTAAGGTAATGGCTCTTTGGGGGAAGCACTCAAATCTTGCTTAATAAATCCCTTCCAGGCAATCTTGGCACAATTCTGTGATAGGACAAGAAGCTGTGATGGCGTAGATTGATCCAGCTCTGGACACTTTTCATAACAATTGTGTCTGCAATAGTTAGATTGATACAGCGATTCAATACTCAAGTGATACAACTATTTAACATGTGCCGTAGGGATAAAAGACATGCAATTCTATCCCAAGCACCCATTTTGGTCAACATAGATTGTCTTACTACGAAGATATTAATTGAACAATTTATTGAATAGGATCAATTTTTCCCCCTACTAGTATAGAAGGTATGTAAAAGAAGTAATATTTTACAAAAAAAAAATTGCTTGTTAAACTATAAAATAGAATTAAGTCATTCAATGATATTTTAGTAGTTTATCCTTCAAGGTAGATGTGCATAGTCATAATTAACGTATAATAACAACAATACTTGATTCTACAGCTTGCAAAGAAGCACAACTTCAATTAAAAACAACGATAGAATCAATGTAGTTGCTAACATACGATAAACCAAATTCCATTTTAAAGGTATAATTAATTAATCGATGAAGAGGTAAAAATCTTCATCAACCTACAGGGTATAAATGTTGAAAAATTTTACAAGGAAAACAACGACTATTGCAAAAGCGAAAATGGATACAAGAATTAATGTACTCTCTTCTGCAGAAATAAGAATAACGATGAAATTATAAACAGTATAATCCTGCCAAATCAATAATAGAACTTAGAACATGGAGGGTAACATTTAGAATCAATATTTTGACTATAACATGCAAATGTAATCATCCAGAGAGATCAACATATACAATATCAGATTAATAAAAAAATGAACTAATCATACTAATGTATAGCGCTAAGAGAAGAAACACACGTATTAATATTTTCCTAATTATCGTGCTCTATCAATTTACTTACGATTCGTAAAATATTGAATTAATAACAATGATAAACAAATGATTAATATCATAAATTTGTTTAGTATTCTGTATATATTCAAACAGTTATGTAAAAATCAGAAATTATATATTATCTATAATAGCCGATTGGAACTTATAGGAGACATTGATTTTCTCATTTTCAAATAAAATTATGGTTACAACTATTCGACTACAAATAATAATTTTTTCATTAGATTAGACCTTGGCCTCCACTATTTCCAAATTAATATCATTATGCATGGCGACCATACTTCGTTGACAAGGTTGTTCTTTCGGCAAATGATAATTCTAGAAGAAGAAATTTGAAAATTTTAGCCAAAATTACTAAATGATCTTCAGTAGAAATGATTTTTACCGTTTACATTTTGGTGTATATCGCGATAAACGAGATCATAGATCAATATAAATTGGGTATTATCAACTTTAGTTGTAAATTTTGCCTTTTTCAGCCTATAATAATTTAAGGCGGTGTATTGCTTTTTTAATAACTAACTTTATCATTTTATTTTATCGTTTCCAGCGCAATGATATACGATACTGTATGAATATTTCTATACTTGCAGTGAATAACTCAATTTTGCTTGGAAATTTTATACGCGAAAATGGATGTAATTATTCTTACCGCAGAAAACTTATCCCTAGAGCATAATCCGACTTGATGACCACAAGTTATTGCTTCATATATGCAAATAATAAGCACTGGCAATAATATAATTTCATTAACACAAAACATGGCGACTACTCCAGTGTTGACCAATTGTGGTTGCAAACTCAATAAGGTAGTAAATTCCGCAATGGTTAATATAATATAGCCGACGATAAAGACCAGCGATGTTGTTAACAAGATAAAATAAGCAATAGCCTAAAATTAAGTATGTAAAACAAATAATGAAGCAAGTGAAATGTTACAACATCGATTGATTGTATAGAATATGTATTTTAAACCAGATGAATTATGTTTTACCTCATTTTCTAAATTTTTGATGACAAGATTATTGCCAAAATGACCAGTTAGAATCAACTAATTACCAATTTGAAAAATTGAGTTAGTACTATATTATTTCTATATGCTACTTTACTTGAAGAGATAGACTAAAATTCACTAATTTATAATTATTACTAATTAATGTAGTTAGCTTTGAAGTAATACTGATAAGTAAAAGTATTAACCTAATAAAATAACAATTTATCACTCAACATGATGCAATGATGTATTTTAATTTAATTTGAAATTGGATTGATTATCAATACACTTTGCTATGCTAAACTATGAAAAAGTTCGATTTAAGCAATTAGTAGATTCTGTAACTTGATTCTAGTTGGAGATAACGCAATCCGCTAGTAACTATGATTAGTGACTAGTTCATTTACCGTATTTATGCACTGACGTTGACAAGAGTACTTACTTGGCATCCAACTGCAAGAGCAATGAAAATGTGAGAGGAAGTGCCAACAAATGATTCAACAACACCCACAATTAGAGTCAATAATCCAAGAAAAGCGAAACATGCTCTAATCATTAATTGGCCAGTAGTTGTTGTCGAACCAAATTGATTAAAGATGATAAATGTAAAGAATGGCGACCGTTGGCGCTTAACTTTTAAAACAGTGATACAAATAGAGATGATAAAGTTACCAACAGCTCCCCATAATGAAATGATAAATAAAACTGTATAAGTTAAATGAGTTTCCCTGCGTAAAGCAGTAGATAGGTAATAAAGTAAAGATGAAAAGGTTGTTGAAATGGACCATAATGATGATGCTCTTGTTAAAATGAGTGACCAAAGAGACTAAAAATGATTAGATGAAAAATGTAATCAGTTCAATCTATCATCCGAATTTATTTTTAAAATATCGTTTACAGTATTCTTATACTGTTATCACGAAATAACTTTTCATAAACCAATTTTTATCTTATTTTCAATAGATAAAATAATTTTGTATTCGATAATAACATCATCATCTAATACTTCATACATATTTGTATAGATAATTACCATCTTTCATAAGGTTATTTCTACAAGTACCGATTGTTTATATATGTCTATACCAAACACTAGCCGATTTTCAATGAAATTTATGTTCATAACTTATTTTAGGGTAGATACTTAGTGGCCTACTAAAATGGGAGGTTGTCAGTATCTCTGAGCTGTGCTATGGGCAAACATCGAGAAAGACAAGCCTAACAGTGGGCTCGAAGGAGTTTCGATTCTTGTTACAACTATTCATTTGTGATGACTATATAAATTGTAGGAATTGGAGCAAATCTTCTCATCATTAAAAGTAATCATTTTCTTTAGGAGATATACAGGATGGGCAGAGTAAATATCCAATAAATTTAATTTAGAATCTTTTTCTGTATGAAATATACAGAAATAATTTACTCTATTACATTTCTGCATCATTCTATATCAATTTATTTCATTAAAGATTAAAGTCTTCTTAAATAAACGTTCTCAGAATTGATGTTATACATAATTAGATTTATCTTATGCCTACTTGTTTTTCATCTACGCGTATTCTACGTATTAGCAATTGCTTGAAGTATGCACACATAGGGGCAATACTGATTCGATTCAATCATGCACGAGATTGCTAAATTTTGAAGTAGTTTTTTAATGGTTTCATATTGTACTTTGCACGAGTAAATAGCTAATACTAAACTTACCGTGGATGATAATTTTGGATATCGATGGGATAATAATGTTACTGCACCCGATGTAATCACCTACAAATAGAGTGTTTATGCAATAAATTAGGCATTCTAAATCTATTTCAGAATTACATGATTGCTAACTGCAAAACTCTTATCCAATGCATAGCCTCTAAAGAATGAATCGAACTAGTAACCATCAATTAACATCAATAACGCTCTCCATTATAATTAGGCTATGCACGCTACTTACCATTGCACCCAAATAGCTATTGGCCAAAGTAAATGCATCTGTAAGTACAAACAAGCATACTAATCCAAGTACAAATGAAATAGTGCCAGTAATAATTTGTGCAATACCCATAATTCGATGATTATGTACGATAGTATTAAAGGAAGAAGTAATAGAAGAGGGAGAATAGCAAAATTTATCTGTATAAAGCGACGACGTCTCATCACTTTCATTAACAGTATTGTGGTGTTCTTGAGAGCGTTCTCGGCAAGCGTATAAAGCTTTCATATGGCGATAACATCGTACAATGTTATAAATTGAGAAGATTAATATTTGCAATGACAGCAGAATGGTAATTAGAGTAACTGCCAGCATTTGCCCACTATCATGGTAATGATATAGGCCCAATGCGAAAAAGAAAGCAGTAATGGTATAGATTTCCCCAATAACAGAGAGCACGGATGAAATTATAATACCAATTAACTAGAATAAAGATAAATGGAAAAAATAATTATAAGTCAGACAGAAGTTTTGGTTAAAAGTTAGTCTATTAAATAAATTTGATTGACATCGGGTACGTTTGGATCATATATTCCAGTTGATCCGATGCGAAATTATAAAATCGGCTTACCGTAAAACATTGTGGCTTGATTCGGTAGGCAAAAGTAGAGAATCCAGCCCCTGTTAACTATAGCAATATCAAAATAGATTATCATCGTCAAGATGATGGAAATCTATATCGCATTCATTGATGATTATCAGTGTAGTAAAAATATGATTAAATATCCCTATAGATTATTTTAATTCTCCATAATGTGCAGCGAAATTTATAACTAAGGACATCAGTCAAAGTAATAATATGGTCAAATAATATCGCTTTTAATATTCAGCAGAGTAAATACCAAATAAAATTGCTATCTTGGTAGCTAAGCGCTAATTAATAATAGATTTATTAAGGTGTAACTTGACTTACCCCAATCGATGGAAGTAACATACCAACATAAAGGTATTCACTTTTATACTCTTTTAAGATAATCCAACCGGCCACCGCAATGGCTGCATTACCTGCTACTAGGATCAAATGAGCTACTCCTAGAAGTAAGTTTTTATCAATCATCTTTAGATTTACTCTAGATGGTGGTTGTTTTTCCTTTCTTGCAATAATTTAGGAATATCTGATAACAATAGTTGTTTAGCAGATCATACAATTATTTTTAGCTGAAGTGTTTGTGTCGATGATCTTTTGGGACTATAGGAATGGAAAAAAGATTATAATGTATACGAGCATACTGAATAATTCAACGATCTAAGTAATAAGTCAAGTATAATTATACGAAATATTAAATGATAGATAAATTAAGATATTATAACTAATAGCAAGACGAAAAGTATTGATATAAAATATTTATCGATACATTTAACTATTATATTGTAAGGTTTGGCTTGGATCATAGATTTCTGCAATTCTAATGTATTATAAGCTATTCGGACAATTAGCGATACAGAATGATGTAGTATTAAACGATTAACATATTAAAAAGATTGTAGCGAATAACTCAATGAAAAGTATCGGTATAAAATATCAATCAAGGTATTTCTCTGTTTAATTATATCTTGGCTTGGATTGATAATCTCGGTAAATATGCCATAATATATAATTTGGTTATCACTAATTGACTATCAAGAATTTGAAGTTGATAAAGATCGAAATAAAAATAATGGGATCGAATAGTCCATTTTACATATCTTCAGCAATAAAAATGAAAGCATTTATAAACTCTCCTGTTGTCAAAGATACCGCATTAAAAAGTAATTCTTATCAGTCATTAAGAATCTGATATTGAAATAAAAGTTAAAGTAATGGTGATAAAATAAGACAGCATATTCTCAGTCCTGTGATGGAAAATGCTTGTAAATTTGCTATTGTTAGTTGATACTGGACAAGGAGGATTCTCGTCTAGTTATAAAGAAGTTTTAGATACAAATGACATAAATCGAATTATTGGAAATAATTGAAAAGTTTAAACATTTAATGAGAGATAGTAAAAAGGCGACAAAGCTTATATTGATTAATTATTATCCGTTGTCTATAATTATTATACAGGATTAAGTAGGTAGAATACTGTAAGTTATCGTTATTCTTTGAAATTGGTGGGAATAAACAGGATAAAAGGAAGGATATGCGGGTACATAATGGTAGGCATGTTTGAGATATTTTCTTTATAGAGGAAAATAGTGATAGAATAGAATTGCATTAATTTAATTTTATAAACAATGCGTATCCACCATTTTCAAATTTATCTTGTTCCAGGCTAGAACAAATAGCATATTCATCTAGGCTAATTCTGATGGAAATAATCGAATCAATGCAAAGAAAGTTGATGATGGAAAAATCCAGTCAAAATATTACCTGATCAAATCGAGGATTGTATAGTAGGAAATGAAAAGAAAATAGTGATCTTTCTAGACATTTAATTAATTTAATAAGCGTATATAGCATTTCCTTCCTGATGCTGTTCATTATTTCTGGAGCTGCCATACGGAAATGGGCAATCTAGATATTATATAACTTAGTTATCATAACTTTAATAGTAAATATTTTATTCTTTTTAGCTTTAATTGATTATTTCAGTAGAAAGTTCTTGATTTATAGATTTATTTAGCCTTTATCTGTAAAAATGTGATGAATTTGGCTTTTAACCAGATGAGTGTTTATTTGGCGTCATCAGAACAGATCAAACTTGACAGTTTCATATGAGTATTAAAAATGGATATGACCAATGAATCGTAAGAAGATACTTGAAGAAATTTAATTTAATACGTTAAAAGAGTGCTAATGAAATAGAAAAATGGTATGCAGATCCATCTACACTCGTTTAATTTACATTTTGGGAGTGTGTTTATAACGAATTGATAGAGTAGATTAATAAGAATGATAGTAATATATAAAGATGATCAATCATTTTCTGATAGTGAGTATAAAATCTCTGCTTAATTTTACCTCGTCAGAGCATATTTTTGAGAATTTTGGGTGTGATGGGTTACTTGAAGTGCTAATAATGTATATATATATAATATACAAATAATCAGTCATTCCTCCATCTTTGTAGTTTTTCCGCGTAATTACTACGGCATAAATGAGGATAGCAAAATAGCTTTAATTAAGAGTTTTTCGGGCAGATGAATAAAGTTATACCATACAAAACAAATTAAGTTTAAATAATCACTCCTGATCAATCTGATGGTGGTTTATTCAACTTTAAACCTTACTAACGTAGCAGCTAACAATTTTATTTTCAGAAAAGGACAATGAACCAATCCATGCTCTCATAATTCCTGTGCTTGTAGAATAAAACTTATGTAGAAAATGAATAAAGGCTGCGTGACATCCGTAAATTGACGATAATTTGTAAAATATCTTACAAATAAAGTCGCTAAAATAGAGTAAAAGTCATTGGAGTCTCATCATCCATTATATCAGTTAATCTTGCTACTTTTAAATTGTTGTAAATCGGGAAATGTTTTAGTGTGTGTATGCATCAGTTTTACTATTACCATGGCAAAACTATTTATCAGCATTAAATTAAACAATCTAAAGTAAAAAGTGATATACAGTCTGTTATTTAAGTCGGTATGGAAATACCGATGCTTTAGCAAAGATTCTAAGAAATACTACCTATCTTTTATCGTCCACCTTTTTTCGTATTTTAAAGATGAATATCTTATAGTAGTATCGTCAGAAACTCCCCTCTTTTAATACTTAAACGATTACAATCTTCATTATAAAAGCTATAAAGTATAATCTTAATTAATAAGCTAAACTATAGCCAATGGTTGAATTATTTATAGTAATAGTGATAATATGCCTTACTATGTTCTACTCACTATCATTCCAGCTATTTCTCTTGCAATCGGATTTTACACGAGCAGTTCTAGATTTATTTTGATAGAAATAATTTATGCTACCGCAGATTTTTCACATCATATTTACTCGATATGAATAATACTGACACTCGATTAATCATCGTATGTAAGATTTGAGATTATAAGCTCTGCAGATGAGCTTAATGATGATTTACTATACTTGCAATATTCTGCTTGTATTTCATGGTAACCATTTTAGCCTAGGTATATTCAGATTTTATTGCTATTTTTGATAACTTATTTAGCCTCATGCTATTCCGCTTATATATGTATCATCCTAATTCTTTTGATCAATAGCCTAGTTTTTTTAATATTTTTGATGATTTACTTGGTTTGTTCTATTGTAGGTCATTGGTAGCAGTTTTAGCTTATAGTCTAATTTTATGATCATTCTTGATTACCGCATTTAGTTTCGCTTCATTCTAACCATTTTGGCTTATAGTCTAGTTTTATAGTTACCCTTGACGATTTGCGTTAATTTACTCTATTCTACTTGGAAATCATTTCCAATCTTTTTAATTCAAAATGTAAATCTGTGACTCTATTATCATTTAAAGGAAAATGATTTATATAACCGCGGATCGTCTAGGGTGTGTAATCGGATACAGGATATCATAACATATATTTAAAATAAGACTTTAAAAGGCAAATTTCGCAAATGCAATATTTTTTAAACCCATTTCTTCAACTAATTATCCAAAGAATCTAATAATGCTGGTATTTAACAGGCATTGGTTTCTATGTATGTATATTATTAAGCCAAAGTGGAATTCAATTTCATTATGATCAAGGAAATCGAATGTAGGTATACCGGTATCAAGATAGTGATATTCTAATTGTGCTTTCTGGAGTTATTTCTGCTATTGCTTACCAGCAAATACTAACTTTTAAAGCTAATATTTTACGGGTACGTATTTTAAGGGTTAAGGATAAACTGAATTTAATCATGAGTAGAAAAATCGAGCATATGTAGAGGCAATAACACGCGTACCATAAGATCATGCAGATTTCTAGAAATTCTATAAGATGATTATCTCATGCTGATACCAATTCTAACCTTTCAAATGAATAACGAACAATCGTTTACAAAAGCAACTTATAGATTAAAGATTTTCATCTCCATCATAACTTTATATCATCTATACTTATTGATCGTGATTGATCATAATTATTCGATTATCTATACCTCTTTCTCTATGATTAATTCGTATTATCCAGGGTATGGTTAACTAGCAATAATCATCATCGATAATTATTTTTAAATCGAGTGCATATTTAGATAATATTTCTATTTGGATTTATTCCACAATTACTTCACATGAGTCGATCATAAATCAGTCATTATGATGAGAAGTGATGAGGGAATCACGTTTAGATTATGATTATCACATAGCTTTCTGACTATAAAATAGTATTCATTAAAATTCAATCGTGAATGTTTGCGGTAATGATTATTCTAACTTGTTCTAAAATTTATTCGAAAGATCGTCAGTAAACAGAATAATGCGGGTAATTATCCATCTTATCTTAAAAGGATTGAAAAGTCAATTTCTGATAGAATCTTACTATTATCCGTGTCTAGATTAAGATAAAAATTTAATTCTAACATCTTGCTCATCCGTCATTTTACTATTATTTTAGAAACCTATTTGATTCTAAATCACCATCTTAATACCACTGCTAAAGGATTGGGTAAGTAAGGGTCAAAAATCATGTTTTAACTGAGTAAATTGAAAGTTAGGCGCTCAAGAAATTAATACGACTGCGGTTAGTTTGCTACATTTAGTAAAAGTCTTCCAGTATCTCAACTGGAGTAATAAAGCCATCAATAATATGAGTAATTCGCTTTTATAGCTATTAATTAATGATGAATAAGTGCGGAGGCACTAGAGTTAATTTATACGACCGAAAAAGCTAGCTGTATTTACCATAAATAAGGTCGAAAATTATGAAATATCGTTGATCACTATACCATCATAAAACGAGTAGAGCTAATGATAGTTTTAATAGCTTGAATGCTACTACATTTAAGGGCATAAAGTGATACTATAATGGCTCTCGTAATTCGATTTCATTATTTCCTCTTCTGCTGAGTATAAAAAGTTATAATCAAAAATGGAAATATTCGTGTTTAAAGATGATTTTGTACTATAGGCAAAAATCTAGTTTAATACATGTCTGATTGAAATAGATGAGTCTGCTTCGTTATACGCCAATACTTTAATAGTGATTGGATATAATATGAAAAAGATAAATCGGTCTGGATTGATATTATGTAATAGAGAGTAACCTATCTTCTAGCCTTAGCATCATTTCATCACTATCTCTAGCTAATTCTAATTCTTCATTCTTAAAGCAAAAGTGAACACGAAAAAGATGATAAAATGTACGTCATTTCTATGCTGTAGCTATACTGGAGTATTTTTAAAGAGCGCCAGTTAGTGGAAATCCATCAAACCAAAATGTAATTACTCGATTTATTAATTACTTCTTGGCTATAAATATCTTCATCTACTTTATTTCTTTTCCATTGATGATCAAAATAGAGTGTGAAAAGACGAAAAGTATCGTAGTTGTTCCTACTTCACAAATAGGGAAGAAATATTTGCTTGCATAGTGAGTGAAATCTAGAGCTGTTAATGATCTTGCCATCTTTTAATGTTGTATCATTAAGCCCTTATTAAGGTATTTGTGATCTAAATGGCATTCAATGAAGACAGGAGACTATAAACAATATGTATATGTTATGTTATATATATATAATGATCAGGGATGTTCTATTTTATTAAAAATGAAAGATCGTTTACAAACACTGTTTTCGGTCTTTACATATGACATAGGTGAGAAGGTCAAGGAAGAATTCAATAAATCAACTCCTCTTGTCGTAATTTGAAATAGCATCTGCAGAATTAACGTGATGTTGTGATATTGTCACCTTACTATTATTCATTATAACTTTCTTGATCGGTTTTTTTCTTTCCAAAAGTAAATGCAGACTACCATTAATGTTGTCAATTTTTAAATTTATACTTATTTAAATCGAACGTATCTTAGTTCCGATGATTTAAATGAGAAGATGAAAGAAGAATCAATTCATCAATTACTTGTATTACAGTTTGAAACGTTTAATGTAGATTTTGTGTTACGTTGTGTCATTTACTAAGTTTAGACTAATTTTTTATGTATCAATACGGAACTAATTTCCAATCGTTTAAGCAAGAAGATAGAAGAAGAATTAACCGAACAAGTGCTTGGACTATCGTTTAACATGACGATATAAAATTTGAGTCTTATCTTTCGCTATATTGACATTTATTTACCAATCGATTGGACTAATTTGTAATCATTGAAGTGAAAAGATGAAAGATAAATGAATCTATCAATTGTTGATCCTATAGTTTAAAACTACTAAGATAGAAGTTGTATGTTGTGTACTGCCATCTTATTTTTCCTTGTAATGTACTGCATCTAGATTTCTCTTTCATGTCGTAATTGTCATTAGCGATCTATATTATTGTCGTTTTCGAATTTTACTCTCCTGTATAACTCGATTAGAATCTGACTTCTGATCATTTGATGAGAGAGAGGATCAATCATTGATCCATTGCTTTTACTGTAATTTAAACATACTATAGTAGAATTTGTGTTATGTTGTGATATTACCACTTTGCTTTTATTCATGATAATTTGCTTGATCAATTTTTCTCTTTCAAAGAGTAGATAGAATTAATAAAGAGATAATGATTGAATATATTCTTCTTTTAGAGTAATCTAAGAAATTAGACTTTACCAATGACAAAATAGAATAAAATTTACGTATAAAAACATCCTTAGGCTATCTCAGTTACCTACTCTCTCTTATTTCTATCGCTCAGTTCATTTTTAACTCACCTTTTAAAAAATACTGAAGTCCAATCACTATAACTTGAATCGAATGACCATAGTCAATTTTATTTATGGCAGTCTTTCCAAATTCTTAATCTTTATTATTTTTTCTTGACTACGGTAGTTCAATAGGTTTGTTGGTATTTGCTCTTCTGTTCTAAGCTACTAGCTTACTTTCGATGACTTCATTGGGGTTGGAAAAAGATACCGATATTGATTATTCAAGATAGCCAATCTTAAATCAAGGGGAAAATAGCTCTTAAATCAGTAGAATTGAATCAGCTTTAATCGCGCAAGGCCTGTAACTAAATAATTTTTCATCGACTACTCAATTGAGATAAGTTGAAGTTTGTTTAAAACAATGGCATTGTCTGTTATTTTGTTGATGACTTGTTTCGTTTATATCTAGACTATTTTATCTTATCAACAATATTAATTAATTGTCAATGATTGTATTCAACTAGACTGTTATCAATTAGATTATAATTTAATCAATAATAAAACAATAACATTCAGGTTGAATGTAGATAAAGGGAAAAAATAGCCAAGCTATAGCTATATAAAGTTCAATAGTAAAATAGTGGATAGTAACCATTACATTGAAATCATTGGATTGTATTCGTAAGAAAGAAATTTTTCCATCCCAACCACTTTTGATTTGCTTCTAGGAAGAAATATGTTGACATTCTTTTCTTTTTTCGCTCACTTTCATGGGGCTATACGATAGTATACGTCCACGATAATTGCTCGCTAAAAAGGATCGACCTTGAGTTAAGATAGGTGAAATACAGTAGCCCAAAGTAATTATTTTTAGGGTACTATATGTTTGCATAAGATAGGTAGAAATGAATTTTCAATGATTGTAGCAGAAATAAGGCATGATTGGTAAGTAAATAGAGTTTATCATATAGATTCTTGATCTTCACTTATCTTAGCTGTTGTCTTGCTAATCTTGAAAATGTCAAGACCCAAGGCTGATCGTAATACTCTAATGGAACTAGTAGCAGAAGTTGCAATTACTTGTCAGTTATCGATCAGCTAGAGCTATCACGTCTTTTTTCATTTCTCTTTCAATCTTCGTAGCTAGAGGGTTCCTTATTAATCTAGTAAAATTAATATTCAACTCACAGTAACTTCATTATTAGCAATAACTGCAATTAAATTTAGCCTTTTTGTCATCTGCAACATATGCATGCTAAGAATCGAAAATGATTCTCTAATTGCTCCCACCTCTAGTTCTAATCCGAGGTTTTGCGGTTTTTGATCGTACTGCTCGTTGAATGATAGAAATTCTAAGAAAGACTACTGA